ACAAATTAGCACAGTTTGAATTAAGGAACAGCAGTAATGGTCTTTGAACAGATGTGTTTGAACTGATGCATGTGTGTGTGGGGGTGAGAGACTCCCAAGGACTCAGGCTGGTGAGATCAGACCACCACAGACGCCATTGGGCAAAGCAGCCGAGTTTGGCACAGTGGCACTGCTTGTAATCCTCATAGCGTGTAATAGGGACTTTCACAGTAAACCCTAATTTTGTAATATGCCTGAGAGATCATGTTACTTGACGACAAAATGTGGGGGTTGATGAGATCCTCAAGTTTATTCATCATTGTTAGTACTTACAACACATTGAAACAAAGAACAGTCTCTTCTTTAGTTTGATTTACTTGTCACCTATAAAGATTTACAAATGATGTTCACACTGATTTTAACCTGAAGGCTGCCCCCTCATGTTGGATAATGAGGCACCCTTTCACTGTTTGTCTCTAGAAGCTCTGACAGTTTTGCACTTGGGGTCATCTGGCAACGAGGGAGGCTGAGGCTTTGGGACCTCTCATAGTGTCAATGACTCCATGGAAAAGGAAATCGAAAACAATAAAAGGCTTGCCGCCAAAGTCGGCTGGCTCCAAACCAGCCAGAGGTGAAGAGAGTTTGTTTGTAGTGGTGTGACTGTTTGAACGCCTGATTAGTCCAACATGCGACCGGTCCAGCTTCTCGCAGTTGGTTCCTGTGACTGACAGCACAGAGAACCTGGAAGTGACAAGGAGCAGGGGAGGTCACAGGAGAGCGTTAGGGTGTCCACTTGTCTCACGCGATATGGAATCACTACAGCACCTCGCACCATTGTGCTCTCATCCAGCGTGTCCTGCGTCAACTCAAAAGAATGTAATCTATCCAGCAACTTGGAGGTGGAACAGTGTGATAATTTGACACTGATTTAAATGTGGTGTCATGATAATGGACTTTGCTCTTAAAGTTAAAATGGGACCACAGCCGGAGAACAGAATTTCAGAGTCAGTCAGAAGGGACTGCTTCTCTGGCGACCTCCACAGAGCCTTTGAAGATAAAGTTATCATGACATTTGGGAAAATTGTAGCATTAGCATGACCAAAGAATGCCTCTGTGCTTCTTGCCACTTTTTTTTTACTCTTTGTGTTTATGGTTTACCGGTTTGTTGAAGAATCACAATTGATCATTTTTCTGTGTCCTGCCCGACTTCTTTCTCACCAACAGTATTTTTAAAAGGTTAAGGTAGACATAAAATACATTTTTCTGTCTCCTGGTTTTTTACTAAACAAAGATTTGTTCTTAGAACTTTTCCCTGATTAAATATGAGCTAAAACAAAGACTATGGTGAAAAACAAATACCCCAAATTTCTTGGACCTTCCAGAGTTCAAGCCCCAAAATGTGCTTTCTGAGCGTCTGCTGTCAGTTACCGTGGATCTCTGCCATGGAATTCCTTGCCCTCTTAAATTAAACCCTTCACCAGGCCCAGCTGGTTCACAAAGTAGGGAGAAGGGGAAGAGGGGAGATGGAATGGAGCGAGTAAATCCATCTTTCACTTCTCCAGTTTGTCAACCTCTGCTTTTTGCCATTAACACTTCATGTCTGGTCGGCGCAACTCCTGAGGCGTCTTTTGGAGAGGAGAGAAAAGGACGCAGAAATTGGGAGAACAAGTAAGAGAGAGGAACTAAGAGCTGAAGACAATGTTTTGATTAATGTCTCTTGTATTCCCCTGGTCTGAAACAGAGGATTACCTTACCTAACCCCAGTGGAGCATGAACAAAACAAATTGCCGTTTTGAGATTGAACCCAGATATATCTGTGCTTACTGGCTCACATCCATCACTTGTACTGGACCCAAGTTTGACAACATGACTGGTGACTGAAAGAACCAGCCATACTGTCTGGCCAGTTTTGTTCCAGTGTCAGTCTTCAGTGTAAATACCAACGCACAAGACATGGTACGGCAGGAGGCGATGAATATTACAGCTTGTCCCTCAACACATTCCTTCATTGTCAGAGAATGTCAAGACTTACTTGTGTACCCTTGCTGAGGTCATACTGTACCTTAACCTCTCGCCACAAATGAATCACCATTGTAGGGTGATGCTAAATTATTCACTGACACGTCATCCTACATTTCACCTCAATAACCTTCAGGTGCACTGCACAGCTGGGAAAGCCAGTGGTCTTTTCTGAATGGAAACTGGCTAGTAAGCCATGTGTCTATCACCTTCTTTTTTTTTTTAAATGAAGGAAACTATGATGCATTGCAGTACTGCATCACTTACCTTCTAATATCCTTGGCCCTGAATCCTCCCTCCTGTGTAGTATTTGGTTTCGGTCCCCTCCATTTCATATTCTGAGTATTGACCTTTTCTAGGATTCCTTTGTCCAAAGCCCAAGACAGTTGGGGGTTTCAAATGGTCTCTGTGGCTTTTTCCTATAATGCCATGATGATCACAAAGAAAATAAGACACTACATAAGTCTACAGAAATCCTTCAGCTTGTCAGCAATCAAGAAATACTGGGAGCAGGACCAAAGAAACGAGATGAAATGATATCACGGCCATGGTGCAGACTTTCGATTTGTGTGGTTCAAGAAAACAAACAACATTGCTGTAGACTTCCAATAATATGTGAGCTAAAACAGGTCTATTTGTGTGAACTGACATGTTGCAACAATAATAGTTTAACAATAGAACAGAGAGCTCTTGTATAAAAACTCTACCCCAGTTCTAGCAAATATACAATCAGTAGATGCCAAAGTAACAGTGGTCCAGATTTTGTTAGCATGTCCACTCACTTCCACCCCAGTTCTAGCAAATATACAATCAGTAGATGCCAAAGTAACAGTGGTCCAGATTTTGTTAGCATGTCCACTCACTTCCACCCCAGTTCTAGCAAATATACAATCAGTAGATGCCAAAGTAACAGTGGTCCAGATTTTGTTAGCATGTCCACTCACTTCCACCCTTATAATTCCCAATCTCCAGGGTAGAATTTGTTACTTTGGAGCGTATTATTTGTCCAGTGTTGTGATGTCAGAACTACACACGATAAACCTTGCATCTGTCAAGGCCTGCACTCATGGTCGCACACACGGACACACACCCTCTGAGGCTGACTTCTGCGTGTCTGCATCTTGTCTCCTGATCTCAAATCAGAGAGTTGAGCTCAACGTGGCAGGTGCTGGCCCTGAGGAGGGCTACCAGAGCCAGTTGGGGTGATGCACAGGTTGGCCAGATGATGGATGACTAACCGAAACGTCTCTGCTCTCTCTTCATGTATCGTCTCCCATTAACATACATCATCTCTGTTGCGCAGACTATGCATATATTCCAACACTCATGATGACAAACATAAACCACATTGGACATTCTGTAATCCGAAGGCCAGACCAGACAGAACTTTTTTTGAAAGACAAAAAAAATGTTACAGACATCCTGTAACGATCTTGTTTTTTTCCTTCACATTTTTGTAGGCATGTGGAGCTGACTGATAAAAAAAAGATGGACAAATGAGACAGATTCCTTGTGTCAATGCAAGATGCACTGGATAAATGAAAGCCCAATATCAGACTGATTTATATAATAATTGATTACTGTTGTTATTACTTTGAGGTGTGTCTTGGGATGGTTGAGCAATCGAGGCGTATCGAGCAGAAAGCTTTGAAGGAGATGGATTATTGAAAGGATTCTTAGTTTAGTGTTTGGGCTCGCATTGCATGCTTAATCTGGCAAGGCCAGTGCCCACATTTGTTTTGACTAAATCATGAAACTCCACACTTCCAACTTTATATCCGTGTCTCCCTGCACATTCCTGATCTTCGTCAGTATCATTACCTGCACCTTGCCCTCCAGTCTGACCCTCCCACTCCTCACCTCCTTCCCTCAGCTGGTTTCCCATGCTCAGTTGCACTCACCCTAGATTTAGTTGGCTTAAACATATTGATGAAAACAAGATCCTTGGTGGAATTGCTTGCTGGCAGCTTTCAAATGTCCTCTTGTTTAAAAAAACAGTCATTACTCCAACATGTTTTTCTCTGATTGGGGAAAAAGCAGTTCACAGCCTCTATTAATACAACTCGTTTTTTTTGTTGAAAAAAAATACAGAGTTTTGTGTATACATTTAACAAATGTTAAGCATGAATTTGAACATTTGTTTTACATGTCAGACCTATACAATGTTTTTTCCCTCTATTTCATATCAGCCACTTAACCCAAGCAGTGCAATAATTCACTTATAAATATTTCTAAGTATTTCTAAATGTTTTATCTTCTCATGACAATTTTACATGTGTATGTTTTAAGACTTATGGCCACGATAAAATACAATTGAGTTTGAAATTCAATATGTGTAATGGTATCGTCTGTGGTTTCACTTTTCTGGGTTTTTTATTTTAAGATTTGGATTTATTTTTCATGAGCAGGTGATGAGCATTTAATTTCATGTCCTTTCCCTCTTTCCAAACGTATTTAAAATTCTCTTTCTTTGTGCTCAATACATTTGCTCTTGTCAGCAACGAGATACCAAAGCTGGGATATAACTTTAATTGTGTGTTAAATCCGGCCAAAAGCTTTAGCCGCCCAGAGATTAGTTTGAAGCTTTTGGTATCAGAAAGAACAGACTGCTCCCTCCAGTGTTTAGATGACAGCATGACCAGATGATCAAGCATATTTCATGTTTGGTCTATCATGTTTCTGACTCACTGGGGGTCAACTCTTTCCCCGCCTGGGTGCAGTTCTTGGCTCTAAAAACATAAATGTTTTCAATCAAACCTAATCAAGCACACATGATATTGTGTAATTTTTCATGTGCCTTATTTTTTTTGAATACATTAGGAAGGATAAATTACAGGTACATGTCTTGATGAAAGATTGCGTGATGTTTTTTATTTAATGATAATTACTGCTGAATAAATCACGTTTCTCTTATTATTGCTGTCATCTGCAATGTGTTACAATATTTCTCATGTTGTTCCTTTCTCTTTACTCAACTGCCTATATATCATTTTCTCGCCAAGGTTACGGCAATCTAGGAGGCGGTGGAGGTTATGGAGGAGGTGAGTTTGTGTCATTTGGAATTAAAACTGAAATTGCTGGTGTGTGTAACATGTAGTTTAAAGATGGTTATAACACCATATTCTTTATACCACAATAGATTATGAAACTCACTCACCTTTGCCCTTTTGTTTCCTTTAGGTGGTTATGGTGGATATGGTGGAGGAACTGGAGGCTTTTTCCCAGGAGCTGGACAGAAGGCTGCTAAAAGAGGTACAGCAGAGGGCAGAACATGTTTGGGTAGATATTAAATATACATCCTATAAGGGACCAGCTAATGGTACCTTATTGATGGGTTGGTATGCTATGTTTAAACAAATAACGGACGGCAGTCAGATTGTCAAACTTTCAGAGTCTAATGAACTTTTTGAGACCCAGCGTGACCTTTAAACTAAAGTATTGTATTAACGTCAACTACTCTATAGCACTCTATTGTAGTTGTACATCAGTAAAAATAGACATTCCCAAATAAATACTTTACCCCAAAAGTGCAGTTTATTCCAAGTCTCATTTTACCAGTCACTGCTTGCGGAGATCATGCATGTGTTTTAGAAATAGTGAGCGTATGACTTGATAAATGGCACTTGGATTATTCTGCAAGCGTTGTGTGAGAGTTTGTAAACACAGTTTTACTATTGTTTACTGTTTAAATACTGCCCTCATATACCTCAAGTCACCAAGAATTGTTTCATTTTTTTAAATCTACATCATCATGAAAACATGCATGAAAAAGATTCTTCCAGAATTTAAGGTAACAAGGGATGAGTCATTAGTATAAAACATATTTCTTTAAGTTTATAGCTGCTTTCAGTGTGTTTAACACTTTAACTTTGTTGCTTCAGCTGGTTGTATCATTTACTCAAAAATGATTTTGAAGATATCAATTACACTTGAACAACATGACCCCTGATGTTGGTCTATTTCTTAGTAGTTAAAAAAACATAAGATAGATTTGTGTATCAATATTTACTCTAGGTTTGAATTCCTTGTGTATTGTAGACACTGATCATATTCCACATGTCTGTTTTAAGATGTGTGTTTTGATGGCTGCAGTGATAATATGTGGCTTTCCACTTTGTTTCAACCTTTCAGTTTAAATGCCTCAAATTAGAAAGCTTGGTTCTCATATTTCCTTTTTTGGCTTGTAGTAAAAGATCCCTGCAGAGGTGAAATGGAAATTGTGATCTTTTAAAAATGTATATTTGGAACCACAAAGATGATCTCTTCCTTGTGTTGAAAAAACTTAAAGTCTGTGCTTTGTCTGTGTGCGCACACTACGTGCTTGAAATTATGGAGTCTGATTAAGCATGGACTTGTTGTACCGTGGCGAAGAGCCTGCTATTAAGTATTGGTTGGCAACGACCACACTGCAGACCCTAGAGTCAGTCTGTACTCCTTTCATGACACTCAAAACAACAATGATTCTTCAAAGCTAAAGAGCGCAGACAATACAAAACATTCCCTTTCCAAATGTTTCCTCATCGAATCTCCCAGAAGACATACTTAAGGCAGTGCGCAATGTCTGCCCGGCAATGTCCGGGGAGTTTAAGATGACAAATGGACTAAAAAGTTTCAACAAACAAACCAATGTGTTTTATCCTGCTGCCAAACTCCCTTATGAGTTAAGTTCATTTCCTGCAGGGGCCAAATAAATGAGGCATTTGATGAGGCAAGGCTAATGCCAGGCATGCTGGCTGACTATACTGATTTGATTTAAACTCAGCCATGTTGCTTTTGATCATAGCATGATGACAGGCGTGTACAGCCCGATTAGCTGCTCTCTAGTATAGCAGTGTTCAGTCCTTCGATGGCTCCCTGCTGAAATGAACCTGGCACAAGTAGCCTGCTCATCCCTCTGCTCAGCACCACAGGGCCCTCCAGTGGCCATGGGATGTAACACTACTCAGTATTTGTTTTGTAAGGTTTGCTTTACTCTTATGTTCACAAAATGTTTGAATGGCTTTATCCTCAGACCTGTAAATGTATATCAATATCTTCTTTTTACAGTGGTGCTCAGTAACTAAGTACATTTACTATAGTACTTTGCTGAAGTACAATAGTGATGTACCTTAAGAATTGTCCATGTCTGTTTCTTACTCAACTACAATCGATAGGCAAATATTTTACTACATGTGATTACTTTGCTTTAAAAAAATGAAATAAATACTTAAATACAAATAAGTATCATCAGTTACTTTAGGTTAGGATTAACTTTACATCCTTTGGTAGAAAATCGCAGTCAACTGTAAAACTATACTAAAGTAAAACATTTTTTAAATAATTGAAAGCTTTACAATTAACAATAAAGTAATGAACACATTAATAAATCAATAATACTAATTACTCAATAATGGTATGTTTATTATTCTAAAATTGTCTGTTGTACAGAATGAGTACTTTTGGTTTTGGTACTTTAAGTATATTCTGATTTAACATTTAACAAGTAACATTTCAATGATCTGACTACTGAGTACTTCGTCCAATTTTGTGTTTTTCTGTCTGTGTACTTTTACTTCAACAGGCGCAGGAACTGGATCCACAGTACCTGTTGGAGGCAAGACTAACACATCATTATTTTTTATTACATTTTGCACTGTTGATGGTCATAACGTGATTTCTGCCTCCCAAGGACTTCAACAACAATTAGCATTCCTTTTGAAACTGCAATGCTTTAAGAATTCGACAACATTGCAAACCTCAAATTGGCTCTTTGTTCAAGCTTAGTTCTCTGACCGGGAGCAACTTTCAGCTGCAAATATAGTACTTATCCCTAATGTATTTTAGAAACACTTTTTTAGTTAGTAAAGTGTTGAGAGTCCTTGGGAGGCAGAACCCACAGGTACAGTTTGACTCAGCTTCTGGTCAAAGTAGATGCTTATGTTGTTCACCTTTATATAATTGTTGTCAGATGTAGTAACTTTTCGTCTTTTTTTCAGGACCTGTTATTCCTCAGATGGGCCTTCCAGGAGGGGGTCTTGGTGGTGGTCTCGGAAAGAAAGCTTCCAAAGTGCCAGGTTTGTTAGACTCAACCACTAACTGAAAAGGCTGAAGTAGGCAGACAGGATGCAATTTAGTAGACGGCAAAACACCATCTAATTGTTTTTTTCATTCATATATTCATCATGTATTTAGTTTCAAATGTATCCCAAAATATATCCTTTACATAATTGCACTTTTTTTTAAAAGGACAGTTGATCTGAGGTGCTTAACAGAGCAAAGACAAGTAAAAGAAAAGAAACATACATGCATTACATATACATATATACATGTATGTATATGCTAATGTGTGAAATGCACATGCGATGAAGCTAAAAAGTAGGTTAGTGTGTATTACATATTTGATTGTGGATACAGAAGTGCAATACTATCCTCTGATTGGCTGTGGCAGGTGTCGGAGTGCCGGGACTTTACCAAGGTGGACTGGTACCTGGACATGGTTTGTATCTTTCATTGATTTATCTCAGGCAATATTTGTCACCTTTTTCATCAAGTGATCATCAAAACATCATCATGTTTTGTCTTTTGTTTGCTCATCGCTACTTCAGGGTTTGGCGGACGTGGAGTTCTGCCTGGTGTGGCGACAGGAACTGGCCTGAATCCAAAGTCTAGTAAGGGTTCCCTCATGAGTGTTGGGAGTTTTTTTATTTATTTAATGTCCATCGCATGCCACTTTTTTTATTACACTTTGCAACAGAATAAAATCACAGGGAACACAGCTGTGGCGCATAAAACAATAAAATAAACAATACTTCAATAGACAACGCAAATATATATTCAAAGGAACACTAAAGGTAAATAATAAACACATGAACTAAGTCAATTCATTTTGTTAAACGTAGGCTGGTTGTCAAGTACATTATATATCCAAAAAGGATCATGGTCTGTATGCAGTTTACTGATATATATTCAACTAATATTTTTGTTTTAAGGCCAATGTTTGTGTCATTGCTAAAACTCGTCTCATAATTACATTCACACCTTCATCTTCTTTCATCTTCGTGTCTGATTGGATTGTTTGATTGTTTTGTTGCAGTTGGAGGGGCAGGACAAGCAGGTCAAGGACCAGGTAACTAGATTTATAATATGCTATATTACAAACATATACATTTATGTTTTTGTCAGTATTATTGGTTTTAGATAATCAAGTCTGTACACATGTATTCTGTCACAGGAGGTCGTGGGTACGGTGGCCCGATGCAGCCGGGAGTGTTCCACGGATACCCCCTAAAATCACCCAAAGTGCAAGGTGAGATATATATCCCTTACATTTTGGATTTTGTTCAAACGTTATATGCTTTTCAAGACAAAGAAAAATCTTTTAAAATGTTGGCTGAGTTGCTTATTTATATATCAATGACGTTTGGTAGGGGCACGGAAAATAATCCAAATGATTGAAAGGCACAAGCAATTGCCAAATGTGTCATTACTGGCATTTTAAAATTGGAAAAATCCAATCATGATTAGTTTGAATTTCAACATCTGTAACAGAATCAGAATCAGGGATCTGACGAGCCTTGTTTTTCAGTCGCAAAAAAACCCTTCCTTAATTAAAGTAGGACAGTAATTCAAAACTGAATTTATATTTAAAGATCTTTTAAGACATATACATTGGGTATTATTAAGGACTATGTGTTAGAGGCAAAACAAGCTGCACAGGTTTAGCAGACAGGAGGCAAGTGAATAATAATAAATGTTTCACTTTCATCTATAAATGTCATGGAGAAGGCCAACCATGATTAAGAGAGCACATGAATGAATAACACAATTCATCCCTAAGAGATGTTCTGGTATACATTACACAGAAAAAGAGGGCTAACCAAAAGCAGCTGCTTCCACACACACTAACAAGTACAATTCTACTTCAGCAATGTAATAATGCATTACATGGAATAACTAATAACATTTACTATAATTAATTAAAAGCTGTTTTTAATGTATTTGAAGCAATCAAGTCAAGTAAATGGCATCATAATTCCACTGCGTTTTAAACTTTCAACCATGTCTCAGAAAATGTATTTTAGACCCAGTTTTTAAGGTTTTGTCAAGCAGCATTATTTTGGCTCATTGTTTGTCTCTCATGTATTTGTCTCACTCCCCTCAGGTGGCTACGGAACAAAATCCGGTGGCAAACAACCTTTAGGTAAGACAAGTTTCCGAATTGTTACTTTTTTTTTTAAACATTTGGCATAACCTTGACATACGTTCACTGGTGAATGATGTTTCACATTACAATGTTTCAGGTTATGGCTTTGGTAATGGCGGCGCTGGAGGACAGGGTGGTCCTGTGTTGAGGCCTGGATATCCTGTTGGAACTGGTGTGTATTTACGAGTGTACTGACAATTTATATGTTGTAGAATTAAAAATAAAAGACTAAAGAATGATAAATGTTTCTTTTCTTTTTTTCTGCAGGAGTTGGGCCCGGTGGCATCTCACTTGCTCAGGCTAAAGCTGCCAAATATGGTAGCCTACCTGATTTATTTCGTGCAGTGCCTTTGTAACAACACATTATTATACAATTTGTGAAACATTAGTAAAGAAACACATTGTATCTCACTAAAGTTTGTGATTTCTTCTTCAGGTGTTGGCAATGTTGGCAATGTTGGCGGTGCTGGTGGTCTGTATCCAGGGCAGGTGCCAGGAGGTAGGGTATCATGGTGCCATTTTCACACCTTCTTGACCTATACATTTAATCCAAATCTGTAGGATGTTGGAAAAAAACATGTCATGGCATCTCACCTGCTCAGGCTAAAGCTACCAAACATGGTAGCGACTACATGTATTACCTATAATGCTTTTCCAACAAGGAAAACACAAATCAAATGTTGAAACATCAGTAAAGAAACACTGAAGTTTGTGATTTCTTCTTCAGGTGGTGGCGGTGCTGGTGTTCAGTATCCAGGGCCTGTGCCAGGAGGTAGAGTATCAACAAAATACCCTCGTGACTTAAAAGTTCATTCCACGTCCATTTTGTTTAATGTTGGAATAATTTTTCACATTTGATAGTTAAGAGGGGATTTATTATGGAATAAGGAAAAGACAGGCCAGACAATACAATTTGTGAAACATCGGTAAATAAACACATTTGTACCTGACTCAAGGTTTTGATTTCTTCTTCAGGTGTTGGCGGTGCTGGTGGTCTGTATCCATGGCAGGTGCCAGGAGGTATGCTATCATGGTGCCTTTTTCACACCCTCATGCCTTAAAAGTTTAATTTATATCAATTGGATATTTAAAAGAAATTATTCTGCCAATATTTGATGGTTAAGTGGAGATAATTATAGAAAAAAGGAAAATGGTCACTGGACGCTTGACCACAGACTTCAGCTTTACTAGAACAATAGAAAAGACCAAAGAATGCTGAATGTTTTTTTTCTTTCAGCTGCAGTGGGGACCGGTGGCATCTCACCTGCTCAGGCTAAAGCTGCCAAATATGGTAGTCTTCCTGATTTACTACCAGCAATGCTTTTGTACCAAGAAAACACAATATAATGTGTGAAACATCATTAAGAAACACATGTGTATGTGTACCTAACTAAAGTTTGTTATCCCTTCTTCAGGTGTTGGCAATGTTGGCGGTGCTGGTGGTCTGTATCCAGGGCAGGTGCCAGGAGGTAGAGTATCATGGTGCCATTTTCACGCCACGCTTTACAATTTAAATGTATTGGATATTTGAGAAACATGTCTGCCTATATTTAATGGTTAAGTGGAGATGATTATAGAAAGGAGGACCGGTAGCATTTCGCCTGCTCAGGCTAAAGCTGCCAAATATTATAGTTATCTGATTTATTACCAGTAATACGTTTGTAGCAAGAAAAGAAAATACAATTTGTGAAACATCAGTAAAGAAACACATGTGTAACTCACTAAGGTTTGTTATTTATTTTTCAGGTGTTGGCGGTGCTGGTGCTGCTGGTGTTCAGTATCCATGGCAGGTGCCAGGAGGTAAAGTAACGAGGACAAACTAAAAAACAACTACAGTGTGCCATTTCCACACCATCAGGAGTTAAAACTGTAATCAACACCCCAATACAGTATTTCTGGATGTTGGACAAAATATATTTCTGCCTATAGTTGCTGTTTAAGACGAGACAATTATGGAAGAAAAGGGAAAGGGCCACCAGACATTTGACTGCAGCCTGCAGCTTTACTAGAACAATAGAGAAGACCAGAGAATCCTGAATGTATTTTTTTTCTTTCTACAGGAGTTGGGACCGGTGGCATCTCACCTGCTCAGGCTAAAGCTGCCAAATATGGTAGTCTTCCTGATTTATTACCAGCAATGCTTTTATACCAAGAAAAACACAATATAATTTGTGAAACATCAGTAAAGAAACACATGTGTACCAAACTAACGTTTGTTATTTCTTCTTCAGGTGTTGGCGCTGTTGGGGGTGCTGGTGGTCTGTATCCAGGGCAGGTGCCAGGAGGTAGAGTATCGTGGTGTAATTTTCACACCATGCCTTAATTAAAAGTTACATTCAAATCTATTGGATATTTGAGAAACATGTCTGCCTATATTTAATGGTTAAGTGGAGATGATTATAGAAAGGAGGACCGGTAGCATTTCGCCTGCTCAGGCTAAAGCTGCCAAATATTATAGTTACCTGATTTATTACCAGCAATACGTTTGTAGCAAGAAAAGACAACACAATTTGTGAAACATCAGTAAAGAAACACATTTGTAACTCACCAAGGTCTGTTATTTATTTTTCAGGTGTTGGCGGTGCTGGTGCTGCTGGTGTTCAGTATCCATGGCAGGTGCCAGGAGGTAAAGTAACGAGGACAAACTAAAAAACAACTACAGTGTGCCATTTCCACACCATCAGGAGTTAAAACTGTAATCAACACCCCAATACAGTATTTCTGGATGTTGGACAAAATATATTTCTGCCTATAGTTGCTGTTTAAGACGAGACAATTATGGAAGAAAAGGGAAAGGGCCACCAGACATTTGACTGCAGCCTACAGCTTTACTAGAACAATAGAGAAGACCAGAGAATCCTGAATGTATTTTTTTTCTTTCTACAGGAGTTGGGACCGGTGGCATCTCACCTGCTCAGGCTAAAGCCGCCAAATATGGTAGCCTTCCTGATTTATTACCAGCAATGCTTTTGTACTAAGAAAAGCCAATACAATTTGTGAAACATCAGTAAAGAAACATATTTGTATCTCACAAGTTAGTTATTTCTTCTTCAGGTGTTGGCAATGTTGGCGGTGCTGGGGGTGCTGGTATTCCATATACAGGGCAGGTGCCAGGAGGTAAAGGCAGACGTTTGACCACAGCCTACAGCTTTAGAACAATAGAGAAGACCAGATAACCCCTTTTTTTCTTTCTACAGGAGTTGGGACCGGTGGCATCTCACCTGCTCAGGCTAAAGCCGCCAAATATGGTAGTTACGTAATTATTTACCAGCAATGCTTTTGTACCATGAAAAACACGATATAATGTGTGAAACATAATTAATAAACATGTGTACCTAACTATAGTTTGTTATCTCTTCTTCAGGTGTTGGCAATGTTGGCGGTGTTGGCGGTGTTGGCGGTGTTGGCGGTGTTGGCAATGTTGGCGGTGTTGGCGGTGTTGGCGGTGCTGGTGTTCAGTATCCATGGCAGGTGCCAGGAGGTAAAGTAACGAGGAACAACAAAAAGATAACTACAGTGTGCCATTTCCACACCATCATGAGATAAAACTGTAATCAACACCTAAATACAGTATTTTGGGATGTTGGAAAAATATATTTCTGCCTATAGTTGATGTTTAAGACGAGACAATTATGGGGGAAAAAAAGGGAAAGGGCGACCACACACGTTTGACTGCAGCCTGTAGCTTTATTAGAACAATAGAGAAGACCAGAGAATCCTGAATGTATTTTTTTTCTTTCTACAGGAGTTGGGACCGGTGGCATCTCACCTGCTCAGGCTAAAGCTGCCAAATATGGTAGTTACCTGATTTACTACCAGCAATGCTTTTGTACTAAGAAAAGCCAATACAATTTGTGAAACATCAGTAAAGAAACATATTTGTATCTCACAAGTTAGTTATTTCTTCTTCAGGTGTTGGCAATGTTGGCGGTGCTGGGGGTGCTGGTATTCCATATACAGGGCAGGTGCCAGGAGGTAAAGGCAGACGTTTGACCACAGCCTACAGCTTTACTAGAACAATAGAGAAGACCTGATAACCCCTTTTTTTCTTTCTACAGGAGTTGGGACCGGTGGCATCTCACCTGCTCAGGCTAAAGCTGCCAAATATGGTAGCTACCACATCATTACCTAGAATGCTTTTCCAACCAGAAAACACGTGTTTAACATTAGTACAGAACATATTTGTAAGCTGTGATCTCTGCTCCAGGTGTGGGTGCAGTTGGTGGTGTTGCTGGCACTGGTGGACTGTATCCAGGGCAACGGCCAGGAGGCACTGGTGGACTGTATCCAGGGCAACTGCCAGGAGGCACTGGTGGACTGTATCCAGGTCCAGGAGGCACTGGTGGACTGTATCCAGGTCCAGGAGGCACTGGTGGACTGTATCCAGGGCAACTGCCAGGAGGCACTGGTGGACTGTATCCAGGGCCAGGAGGCACTGGTGGACTGTATCCCGGGCAACTGCCAGGAGGCACTGGTGGACTGTATCCAGGGCAACTGCCAGGAGGTAAGATACCGTGCAAAAGACAAACAAAAAGGTTTAAAGCCCTACTAAAGTGAAGTATAGAGCTTCTCAGGATAGTCCTTGGAAAATTCAGTTTGGCAGTGGTTACGAAAGTGAACAATTATTTGTTTCCTACAATTCAAACGAATCAGCTCAACAAATTAAGGGCTTTAGAAAGCTACAGCAAGCTATAGTTTTTTTCAAATCCTGCTGACAAAGTGACAGCCTTCTTCTTGGGGAAGAAAGAAATGTGACAAACTTAGCTATGAGCAAACTAAACAAAAAGCCACACTGCTGGCGAACATCTGAACTATTATGGTTGAATTTGAATTTTTCCGTTCTTTCTGAGTAGGTTCTGGAGGCATCTCACCGGCTCAGGCTAAAGCTGCTAAATATGGTAGCCTAACACCTTTATTACCTACAATGCTTTTCTATCAAGACAAAACATAAAGTTGTGCAACATGATTAAAGAACATGATTGGATCCAAACAGAGTCTGTGCTCTTTGCTGCAGGTTTGGGTGTGGCAGGGGGTGTTGGTGGTGGAGGAGGTGGTGGCGCTGGAGGACAGTATCCAGGGCAACTGCCAGGAGGCACTGGTGGACAGTATCCAGGGCAGGTGCCAGGAGGTATGATCTAGCAAAAGACATAACAAGCTAAACTGAAAATGGACAGTAATCATTCTTATAACTGAAAAGTGAATAGCATTGTTTTCATTGTTTTTCCCATTACTTATTTAAAAAAATGATGCCATATGCTTGTATTAATGTTTCCATTATATATCCACTCATCTAAGTAACTTAACCTTGAATTCAGTAACAGCATCTCGATAAATGTTGGCTCCAAATAGGATCAAGATTACCAGGAGGTGCACCAGTGTTTGGGGGATATTCACCAGCAGCCAAAGCAGCTAAATATGGTATAGTGTATCAATGAATTAGTGTATAACATTTTGTTTGTCTTTGTGTATTTTGTGTATTCACAGGAACATAATAATTTTAGTGGAGTAAGTATTGAATATCATTACGTTCTTTTTCTTGCCCCCTTGGCCCTGCACACTATAGGACAAGGAGGAGCAGGAGGACAATTAGGAACAGGAACACTGGGAGGACAAGGAGGACTGGGAGGACAAGGCGGACAATTAGGGACCGGAGGACAGGGAGGACAAGGGGGATATTCTGCTGCTGCAAAAGCTGCTAAATATGGTATTTCTTTCCACCAAATATAAAAATCCAACTAAATTTAAAAAAATCTTTATTGTGTTTGGCTTCACTCAAGTCTCTCTTGCAAAAAAATATCTTGATTTCAATGATAACATGATTAATTAAGGGGAATTTATTTACAGTATCACATGGATGGAGAAGAAGCTGTGTTGCCATGACTATATTGCTATAATTATCTTTGGGACATCACAACCTTAAGAAGTTCTGGTGGTGGTTTGTTTAAAGGCAACGTTTATTTTACAATACGAGAGACTGCTTTTTATCGCTCTAAGATGCAAAGCCAGTGAAATGGAGTTGATGTTCCAAACAGCTGCATGTTTAGGATGCACAGAAAAAGGAGGAATAGTCATTTGAGTCTCAGTTTTTTCTTTTAAAGTTCTACTATTGATTCTTATATAGATAATTCAAAGAAAAAACGAATTGTTCCTGCATTTAACCATACCACCAGCTTCACATGGAAATACATTTGTCTTTGACAGGCGTAGGCAGACTAGGAACAGGAGGAGATTCTGTTACTAACTGTATATCTGTAGACTTGGTATGTCTTAAATGTCCGGTTAGGATGTATTAGAACGAAATCTAAAATGAAAATTGTAAACAAGCAATCTGTATGTAAAAAACCACCTGTATGTAAATTGTAAATAAGCCATCTGTATATCAAATATGTCTTATATGTCTTAAATGATATGATGAATTGGAAATGGGGGACCCTGATGTAAACAAGACGAAAGTCTTTCTCTGGTCTGCATCCCCTTAACAATTGTATGTTTTGAGCTGTACTGTACTGTACCCAATATACAAGCTGTTAATAAACTTTTCAATCAATCAATCAATCAATCAAGGCCTAGGAGGAGTAGGAACAGGAGGCTTCGGAGGAGCAGGAGGAGTAGGAACAGGTGTATTAGGTGCAGGAGGAGTAGGAGGAGCAGGAGGATACTCAGCTGCTGCTAAAGCTGCTAAATATGGTAACTCGATTTCAAAATGAATTGCTGACCAGAACTATAGATATTGTAAGTAGTATTTTAAGTGAGTGTGCATGATTAAAATATTATTGTTTTGCATCAAGGTCAAGGTGGTGCAGGGGGTGTTCCAGGTGGTGGTGCAGGTGGAGGAGGATTTCCTGGACGAGTCCCATTTTTACCAGGATATGGATGTAAGCATGCTCCTTTATCTACATGAGTATTATACGTTTTTTTGTATTACTGACTAAAATCTCTTCTTCTATTCTGGGCATATTGTATTGCAGCGCTGGCGGCTGGTGCTAAACCTCCTAAATATGGTGAGAGCGGATATTTTTTCCCATTTTATGTAGTGTCATGATTATCATTTCATAAAGTGTGTCCTCCAAATAGTTTTGATGGTGAAGAAATGATTACCTCAATCCAATGAAACAATAACACGTTTTGGTAAATTGTGCCTTGAATGCATTGATAGATTGTATTTGTTTGAAATGGCAATAGCTTACCAATAAATTCTGTCAAATGTAATATTTATTCCTAACATCCCGGAGCAGGCCAAGGAGCAGGCCAAGGAGCAGGCCGAGGAGGCGTAGTTCCAGGTGGAGCAGGACAGCCACTTCCTGGTGTTGGTGCCGGCTATGGTTGTGAGTTTTTTGCTGTTTCATTTATGATAATTCAATATGATGCAATGACTTCTAGGTAACAAATATAATGGTGCCTCCCAACAGGGTATGGACCTGGGGCTGGAGTCAAACCCCCAAAGCATGGTAAGATGTTTTCTTTAAAGATGTAATATGTACATTTTCTACTTAAATATTTTTAATAAGACCTACTTAAAAAATCTGTTGAGTTGTTTTATTACCCAAAAACCAAAAGTATATTGAACCTAGAGAAATCTGTAATATGTAAGGTCTTCAAGGTAAACCGTTTTTTTTTCATCTGGTGTCCTTAAATGTTACGTTAAGCGCTTTGCTTGTCTGCCAAAAGTTGTCCTAAATGTACTTCATCAATTAGTTAAGCCACATTTCTGCAATACTTTTTTTAGATCTTGGTTGTTGTTTTTTTACATGATTTATGTTAACCAGATGAAGGATTTTAGTTGAGTTTGTTAGTATATGCACAGTTGGATCTTAAGTTATCAAGGAAAAAGCAAACGTTAGAGCTCGGCTCTCAACACTGAACTCAAGACTTCAGAAGTGTAGTCCACAAACCAACTGGTGACCTTTTGTACGGTCCATACCGTAATTAATGATAGAAACGGCACATTTTCCCTTGAATAGGAGTTCCAGGAGGAGCCGGGACAGGGATTGTACCAGGAGCTGGAGGAGTGCCAGCAGGTGCCGGTTATTTACCAGGAGGCGGACAATACTCTCCTGCCGCAAAAGCTGCTAAATATGGTAAATGTAGAAATACTACACATCAGAGACATTTTCTTGTAAATTAGCCCATTCCTATAAGAACAATATCATTTTCAGGAATAGGAGTTGCGGGAGGCGCTGGAGCAGGGTTTGTTCCAGGATGGGGAGGAGCAGGAGCAGTTCCTGGTGCTGTCCCAGGACTGGGAGCTGGACAATACTTAGCTGCCACAAAAGCTGCTAAATACGGTATAAAACCCAAACCCAAATATCACAAATTCAGAGACATTCATTAACGTATTGACTTACAGGAACTCTGCAGTTTTTAGTAATTACACATGTATTTTCTCTTTTTATTTGTCTTTATCTACTTGTTATTAAATTTGACCAAACTTATCATGGAACCTGCTTAATTTGCCTTAATTAGGAGTTCAAGGAGGAGCTGGAGTGGGGCTCGTACCAGGAGCAGGAGGAGTACCAGCAGGTACCGGCTACTTACAAGGTGGACAATACTCTGCTGCCGCAAAAGCTGCTAAATACGGTAAAATAAATAGCCACACAAACCCCAATCTTAAACATTGAGTTGTGTAAAAATGCATTCCAATAGAAACTTTAATTTATCCTACTTTTTATTAGATTATATTAATTGGGCCAAAAACTAAATATTCACACTTTTTCATTTGTTGTGTGTAAACTGATTTAAATTAGTTGGGCATTGTTTAAGTGTTGATTAAGATAACGATCTCTTTTCCCCTAATCAGGTGTTGGAGGAACAGCTGGAGCAGGCTTAGAAACAGGAGGACAGGGAGGGGCCGGAGGAGGTGGGGCACCTACTTTTTTTGTATTATTTATCTGTCATCTTACAAAGTGATAACATTTGTGTCACAATTCAGATTTGGATGATATTATAGACTTTATTGACTATTGAGTTTATGCAGAACATCCAGGCGGTGTGAAAGCACAAAAACATGATAAAGAGTGTCTGGAAACTCTTTCAGTCATTTTTTTCACCAGTTTTACCAGTAAAAAAGTCCTATTTCCTAAAATCATCTGTTCGACATGTCTGAAACTCTTCCACATGTCCAGGATTAGAGGTTGGAGTAAGTATAATTATAAATAAGTATAAACAGGGGGAAAAGCTTTGTTCAATTAGCTAAAAGAACACCTCAAGTATGGTGGATTAACTTTCTAAATTAACTCCACATGAATTAACTAAACAAAGAGGACCAGTCTAAACATTGCTGACAATTAACTTCATTATAAAACGTACATAATTGCCTTAAATTACTCTATTTGGTTTTACTGTATTGAAAATGCATTCCTTTCACACGTAAAGGTAGCGTTTCCCTTCTGCTAAGATGTAACTCTTTATGTATGTTCATCACAAACTATAAACGTTAAACGTAACAAATTATGTTATACTGTAACAGTAAACACAATTGTTTTTGGGAAGACAGACTCCTATCTAGACGTACTATTTACCAGTGGTATTTGGTCATATTGAGCTAAATACTTTTTTTTTGTGAAAAGACAATAATTAATATATTTCAATTTTCATTTGGTGCCTCTACTACAAAGTCCATAATAGAGTATTGATGTATCAAGGAAAAACCAGAAACATCAAGAGCCACTATTTTGAGCCTTTCAGTTGGAGACTTACACAAAAGCTTTTCGTTTTTTTAATTTAGCATTCAGATAACGGTGGCATGTATTTGCTAACCTTGTGTGCCTCTTGTAGGAGGCGTCACTGGGGTTGGCGTTGGACGGGGAACAGCTACTCCAGCTCCAGAGGTCGGCGTTCGCACAAATGGTTCTGCTGTTGGGGTGCCAGGTGACGTAGAAAATACAAGTTCATATTTCTTACATTTGCCTTTTATAAAAGTGTTCTATTATGAATCAAGTTTTTATTGATCTTATAGCAACGGATGCAAGTGCTGCTGGAACTGTTCAACCAGGTACAGTGAAATGCCAGTACTCTGCATGTGTTAGGAAATCAAATGTACACACATTCACACATGTATGTTTTTGCAGTAGCTGTATAAATCATATGGGAGGAAAGGGAAGCAGCATTTCCACTTACAGTATATTTTGCAATTGCGCTGTAGCTCTGGGTTACTGCACCGCAATATGCCATCATTTATTAACTCTACATTTTTTTCATTCATTTCTTGCCCACACATGTTTGTATTGCGAGTGCTACAGTAGCAGCTAATGACCACCTCTGGCTTACAGCCTCCCAGCCTCCCAGCTGTGGCAGTATTGCATTTTCCCTCACAGCTTCTGCCTCTTTTAGGCTTTCTAACTCACGCTTTTTTATGGCACAATGGATGAAACGTTGCCATGTTCTCTTTTGGCAGAGCCCACGCCTACTGTCGCAGAGGTCCTGCAGCCCAGTAAGACTCACTGTTTGCATGAAACCTGTGTCTCTAAAATAAAATCTGTGGTATTTATATCTAATTTATTTATTTTTCTCTCTGATAAAGAATAGGACAATGAGTATTTGTGAATATATTTGCCGAAATAGACACTTCAGAATCTTTAGTTTAGCAGGTCACTGTTTTAATCAGCATTCAGATTTATCTTTATAATTACATAATCAAATCTTAAGAGCACAATTTGTAAGTGTAGCCACATCACTATATAACCTGTTGGTATATTTGGGTAATGGTTCATTCTTAATGTACATTTCCCCTCAAATAAAGGTATTCTGATTCTGATTCTGAATTGGTTTCTCAGCAGCCTCCACTGGCATATTTTTTTTGTATTATATATGTAATCAAACCAAACTGACAAGATTATTGAAATGTTGTTTTGTAAAACACCATTTTACTGATTAATTGTTCTTCTTTTTTTGCACTTCTTACTGGTGTGGTGGCTGTGTGAAAACAGGCGGTGGGTTTAAAATAATTGCATATTTTTAATTCACTTCTGAATCTGTTTTATCTTGTTTTAATCCTTGTTTTTATTCCTGGATGTTTTACAGTTTCTGGTGGTATTCTTCAGCCCAGTGGTAAGTGGTTCTGCATATTGTTTCTTAAACATTCATTTATAGTAAATACAAACATTAGATGGTTAACATGGAGAACCATTGTTTTTGTTTTATTTCACAGCTGGCACAAGTGTTGGTATGTCAACACTCTCATATTGAAACTACACCAAACAATATGCAACAATATATTATTTTCTGTTCTATTCAGACATTAGATTTTTGACTCCAACCTTTTGTATTTGTTTGTCACAGGTGGAGCAGGTGTTGCAGCACCCTCTGGTGGTAAGAGTGCACAGATCATGAGCCATTTATAGTTTTACATTATCATGTTGGAGTTGTATGAAATATAGTGTTTTGTTCTGAATTTATTTATTTTAAAGAGATTGCTCTTTTTTTGTCTGTTAACATGTGTAACATTCACTAACTGAAACCTCTGCTTGTGTTTTAGTTGGTCCAACTGGCCAAGGCCAGCCTGGTAAGTGTAAACAACCTCTGTTTGGGTCTGAGATTGACTGAAATGTAACAAATATAAGAGTTAGGTCCCGATATGATACCACACCGACCTCAAAGTTCACCTGCTCATGTTACTTTCATACTTCAATAACAGCTGAATTATTTAATCTAATCAAATATTTAAACAAATAAATTATTATGTTAAAAATGTGGGTACAAATCTATTTTCTTATAGCAATCAAAATCATATAGCTACAGTTGAGTCTTAAAAATATCAGATATTATCTAAACCGTTTTTTAGTATTAAAACGTTATGCACAAGGTTTGAATTTGTATTTTTGGTGTTCTATATATTTATTTCCTTGTTGGTTTTTTAAACTATTTGCTGCCGATATGACATAATATCGGAAATGTGGGCTGGCTTTACACCCACGGCCTCAATTATTATTATTATTATTATTTTAATGCTACGGACTCAGAATCAGCACTACTCTAACAGGGCTGAAACGGAGGGATATGAGGCATGGCTAGTATGGGTGATCTGTTTGGTATTTTGAGCAAAACACTTCATAGACATGTTTTTTATAAATGTTTATATATCTGAGACCTATAATACATGCCTAACAATTGTTCAATAGTAGACCTTTAACGTATAAATCTATTTTCTCTTTGAAGTTGCAACCGGAGTTCAACATCCTAGCCAATATTTAAAATGTAATTGGTTGAATAACTCCATGTTGTAATCAGCACTCAAGCTGTATTTTAGTATTGAAAGTTAACGTGATACGATTCATCCTTGTGGCCACATGATGGCGACATATACAGATTAAACAGCCCTGTCCACACTTGTCTTGGATGTAGTCAGTGAATTTAATAATTTTAAACACTGCTGTTTTCAGGTGTCGGTGTTGGCACAAGTGGCAAAGCACCTAAACCGTACCTACCGGGTAAATATGGCTAATAAATAATTCATCAGAATTTATTTTGCAACATCGCTGCATTTCTCTATTTTGCCTGCTTTACAATCAACATAAATCAATAGTTCATACGCTGTTAGTAGATCCTGACTATGTGGTATTACCATAAAAATAAATGCCTCTACTGTATGTAGCTGCAACACAATAAGATGACATTGTTTGATTGAAGATTATTTGTTAAGTTATGCATACCTTATTACAAGTGTTAATGATAATGTAATTAAGTAGATCATTATGTTTATATATAATTTAGAATCAGTAATATTTGTGTTTATCAATTTGACACTGCTTAAGTTTGTATTGTGTAATCATTCTCATGTTTCCTTTCATTATTATAATTGTTTGTATTATTGTTTTACACATTCAAAATGAATCTAATCAAATCTAAATCTAAAATGATAATGTTGTCATTTAAGAATGAAAACATCCTAATAATGTTATCAATACACCTTTTATGATTATATTATATGTTACAGATCCTACTTTCACTCACTGTATTTATCTTACTGTGCACATTCTGTCTGGACAGTTAATGACTTAACTCGGATCGATTAAAAGCAGCAGTTAATATATTAGGAAAAGCTGCATCAGGTCTTTCTCTACCCAATTACACCGCCAAAAGACTGAAGAGTCATCACTTTCATCCCTCTGTGGGTTTGCAGTAATTTCTGCCTTTCTGCACTATTTTACCTGTGATGGACTTGAGACCAAATGCAAAATGATTTTTCTGCATTACTTTTAGTCCAAATCTTGTTGTCCCTGAGAGGGAAACTTAGTTGGTTCCATATAAGACTATAACACAAATTTGAAACATTGAACGCTAATGATAAAACATTCAGTATTGGGTGAACATACATTTACCTACCTGAGTTTACAATTCAATATCCAGTTACATGTTTAATTCATCTCTGTTTAAGTGTTAACATTTTTTAATCATTTTAGAAACAAATCCCTGAGCTCAAAAATATAGTGTTTTTAACTTTTCATGTCCCTAGACATTGAACTAGTCATTGAATCTAATCTAACAGCAATTGTTCAATCTTCTGACTTTACCCCTCCAATCTTCTAACACATTTGCTCCATCGGTTCAGTTGCAGGTGTTGGTCAAGCCGGAGGTGGATATCCTTATTGGGGAAACTATGGAGGCAAGTTATTTTTTAATTATACAAACATTTACAGGCTTGGATAAAAATGTGGCTACTTTAACTTCTATTATTTTTGCTTTGCAGTTCCTCATGGTGCTGGTACCGGAGCAGCCACTCTGCCTGGAGCAAGGCCTTTGAATCCTCCAGGTATGTAGGAGACATTTCACAAACATCTCCATCTAGTTATATCACATACTTATGTTTTGGCATTTTGCTTGTTAAGGCTCAGACATTGTTTTGTTGTGCTTGTTGTAGCTGTTGGCGGAGCAGGAGGAGCAGGGATCCCACTGGCAGCAGGAGGCTATCAAGGTCAGAACCCATAAACATATTTATTTCAGGTGTTAAAACATACTTTTTTGGTGAACCCTACAAACATCGACAAAAGTGTCAGTTTAGGGATACATGGATTCTTTAAATGTGGTTTGTATTAGGTATTTATTCAGAGTCAACATATTCCCTACAGTAGATGCATAGTTCGGCACATTCCCATGTAAAGAACATCATTTAGCATGTGCCTGTCTGTTTCTCCAAGCTCTTAAACAAATCCAGATTATTCCTTTAATTTGGATTCATAAAACACAATTTCTTCCTTATTCAATTTATAGGGCTTAAATTATAACCTCTTTTTGTTAGCATGTTTTTTTATTATTATTAACATTTCTCCGATGACACAAACTGGAAGAGGTGAGTTGAGCCACCAGAAAATAATGCTACTTTTCTCTGTCGTCACGATTCAGGGGGATACAGGCCATATCAACATGGTTATGGCCAGGGTATGTATGAGAGGAGAGGAGGCCGACAGCACTTTTACACATGTCCCTCCAATAAAAACAAAAACATAAACAAACTAAAACGTTCTGCTCGGTGCTCAAAGTGACAGTTGGTCAGGAGATGGCATCACATCCCACTTCCTGTGCAGGAAACTGACCGACATGCTGATAAGTTTCTGTAGGGGGGGGGGGAGTGTCAGGAAGCAGAACCCAGCTGGAAACTTTGATGAAGAAAATCCTCTGGTGTTGGCGGCAGTAATTACAGTGGTTGAAGCCGGTTTACAATCCTGTGCCAGCGAGGTTAACGTAATCAAATCTAAGCCAGTTCTCTTTGTCTTGTGACAGGTGGGCTGCAGTATCCCGCTGCAGGTGGACTGGGAGGTGCTGGAGGTGGAGCTAAACCACCCAAACCAGGTAGAGTAACAGGCCTGTAACTGTTAAAGCAAACATCATTTAAATGTCAAATAGCTTGGAAAAGTGGAGCAGATGTTGTCATATACTGTATGAGGTTCATATGTGTTCATACTCAATATTCCACCCTGCTTCCTCCTTCTCAGTAATACTCAGTAATAGTAAATTAGTTAAAGTAGGATTTATTTCTTTAGGACTTGGGTGATTATCAAATACTGTTTTCTTTCTTTTGATTGTGACAAAGCTCCTGCTGAAGAAATTAGATTAAATGTTTTACTGCATTAAAATCAATCCGGTATGAACATAATCTATTCAGTGTTTTTTCGGAGAAACTGATGAGTCCCAAGAAAAATGCATGTATTAGTGAATACATAAAAGCTGCCATGTTAGTTGTATTTCCCTTTTTAAAATTATAATAAGAGGACAATCCCCTTGAGATGCACCATCTCGTCCTCAGGCAAAACACATGCAAGTTAACAAACATTTATGCAGACTGTAGATAATAAATTAGGCAATCAAAATTGTAACATCAACAAGGGCTTGAGAACATACAGGGGATCCTTTTTTTCATCCCAAACCACACCAATATAACATAACAAATAATGAACACAATTAAAAAGTAGTGCACTGTATATGAAGATAAATAAAATCAAAAACAAGAGTAGGCTTAGTATAAACAAGCAAATAACTCTGCTCCCTGCAGTGTTACAGTGCCGTTAGGAGTTTGTAAATGAAGCAAGTCAACAACATAACATTTCCTGATTACTGTTAGTGAAGCTGTGTGCAACATCAAAGTGTGACTGTTGGAACATAACACAAACCCCCGGAGAATTGCACTGAAATAGCAAAACTCTGCCAGAGGACGTTTGGATGATGTTCTTGCTGCGACCTCAGCTGAGCCACTGGCTTCACCTCAGGGGGACAAACAACAACAGCTATAGGAACCAAACAAATATAACAGGTCATACTCACTGTTAAATCCTAAGAATGGACTCATTATTGAGATTTGTTGGTCTTCTTTTCAGGCTACGGTCATCTTGGAGGTGGCGGTTTTTATCAGCCAGGTGAGAAAAACCATATGTTTGTTTACTATTTTCTGCTAGGACGCAGTATTGGGGCCTTTATGGGTCAAAGTAAATAAATGATGGAGCTGGATGGAAGAATATATCCAAGAGAAAACTCAAACTATGGTATTTGAAATTGGAATTGTCTCTTCAATGTTTGCATGCTTATGATAATATGTTGGCAAAAATCACAAGTATTTTCCATATTTCTGAATCCAAATGCACAGTAAAATAACATTAAGTCCTCCGCTGCAGGCATTAAACAGAGCCTGTGGTATGATGACGTGGACTTCAACGTTTTTTATTTTTCATGTACAATGGTCCTCATACGCCGTTTTTAGGTACTATCTTATTTTACTGTTTTTTAATCATCAACAAAAAACAATAGTGGCTAATATGGGACACATTTCAAATCAGCTGTCCACCACACTCTCCACACTTTGTGCAGAGTAGCCTCTGGTCCTCTCCTCCTCCTCTGGCCACCAGTGAGGGATGAGTGTAATCTCACAGCAGCAGCTCCTCTCTCGGCCTCACAGACCCCCACCAGGCTGCTCTTTAAAACCCATTCCCCTAATCCCCCTCCCAAAGGCCAGAGAGATACACGTCTGTGTGAAATGCTTCCACAGATGGTTTAATAACTTTTCTTGTTCGCTAATAGCTTTTTCCAACAGAAGGGTTTGCCAAATGATGAATAATAATTGGCTTCTATAAAAAATATATCAAGATATCAAACTCACAGTACATACTGTACCAGCATGTGAACAGATAGACCTCGAAGGGGGCTCAGTCACCTAGAGTTGGGCCTCCAAGAATCCTTTTTTTTGGTTTTTAAATAAATACATGAATTCCTATTCGGAACAGCCTGCCCTGCCAAACAGACACCAGGCAATTATTGATTGAAATGATTATAAATAATATATTCATAAAAACTATAATATAAATGACTAACGTCTTGACGTCCCTAAAACTGAATGTGTCACTCAAAGTTGTTACTAGGTCGTTTTTTCACAACTTACATGATCATATCACAACAGTTTGACTATCAAAGTTAATGATTATATTGTATTATGAATATTGTCGGTTACCAATAGGATAGGATGTTATTTTTCTGTCTATGCCTCTTCTCCATGGTACACTAAGTAAAGCTTTTTAATGTTACAGGTGCAGTTCCTGTGGCTCCTGTGGTCCCTGGTTATGGAGGAGGTTACCCCCAGTACTACCAAAGTATGACAACTGCTCTCTCTGCATGTCTGTGTCTGTGCACGATGTAAATCTAAGATAGGTGTTAAACAGCGTGCTGTGCAGTAACCTGCGGGTTATAAATCAGTGGAAAGGACCCAACAGACGACAGAATAGGAACATTTATCTTAATAGGCGGGGGCAAGAGAAGAAGCTAGCTTTAAGATTTTCACTTTAAGATCTTACCTACTTACCATTTTTTCTTCAGTATAGATACAGAAAGGTTCATTTGTATGTTGTTTCTGTCATTATTGTTTTTCACTGCTACTTAAAGTCAAACATATACCAGAATATGCTGGCCAAACTTCTTCCCGTAGAAGAGGATTTAGTGCGCAGTAGTTTTTAACTTTTCATCATTGTTTCTGGATGAGAAGGTGGATTAATGCCCAACTGCCATCAGGGAGGTAACGCAGCTGAATGGATGAAAGAACAGGAACACTGACTCATCGTTTTCCCCTTTAGAGCTGAGGGCATTTAGAAAGGGAGAGGAGAACCAAAGCAGAATGACCACTCTTATGGTTATTGCTCAATAGCCCTGGATGTGGACAATGTATCTTTTCTCCCTCCCTTTATTCTGGACAATTTAAACACAATGCAACTACAACTTCTGCTCATATCCACTATAGGGGTTTCCATGGAATCTCGCATAAGAAAACAAGAATTATTACCGTTTTACTAGTGGACGTACAGTAGAGAGAATGCAATCTCAATTAAATCTCTGATCAAATTTAGAATAGAAAATCTGAATGTTAGTCACGAAATTAAAACATTTGATCATATAGACGCATGGTTTGAATGACATACTATTATTATAGAAAATATTCATATTACTTGTATTTATTTACCTCGCGAAGGCAGAAAGGGCGGGTTTAACTTTTAACATCATTTCATTTCTAATATCTATCACTCGTTTTTTTACACACATGGGAGGCTGAGTTTACCTCAGGGTATTACATTGTGTTTGAATAATGACAACCTGCCCTTTTCTTTTCTGAGAACCTAATTACACAAAGATTAATTGGATTACTACTGACAGTAGAGCAAATTGAAATGTTAATGATGTTTGTAGTCTTCTTCCCATTTTGCAAAACACATCAGAAGAAAATTGGTCGGTGTCAGAGCTCACTTTATTCACATTCCAGCAGCTTAATAGGCAAAACCTTAAGCACCTTCTCTCTTGTTAGCTTTAATTTATTTTAAATACAAAACACAGACAGGAGAACACATTGTCTGTGCACACTGGTTACTTGAATACACTGAGAGCGTCTCTGGATCAGACGTGCCTCTCATGTGATATTATACTAATGTCAAGTCTCCTCACCACATCCTGGCCGGGACACATAAATCATCCACTGTGACAGATCCATAGAGGTTTCATATCAGCGTTAGTCTTATGGCACCATGTTTTCTCTCATTTGTCTTTGATTTTGTTTAGATGGATATGTGCCGGCCCCACTGACTCCTCAACAAGGTACAAACGCCCTCCTCACATCTCAGCATTCACACACATCTCCACACCAGGAAGCAATAATAAATATCAAGTCTCTCTGCTCCTGGTCAAATTGTTTGGAAAGTGTTTCAGTGATTCTGTGTGTGCTATCGGTGCAGATGGCACGGCACAGTGTGGTGATAATCTGCATTTTCCTGAACATCAGAGATTACGGATTATTTCAAGGAGAGCACGTCTGGTTACTTTCAGTCAGTAGTTTGATCTCTGAATGAATGAGTGAAATTAGATTACTTTGGATTCAACTGTTTCCTCCCACAGTCTGTTTCATGCATGTCAGTTTCTCAGCAACTCTTGCCGGCTCATGATTAACTACAGCCCCCCACGACCTTCCATAAAATGAGTGGTTTTATGTCATTGCCTCTTTGGTATTGTTCATATAAATAAACAAGTTTGTTCATAACTTTATTACCAAGAAATCCAATCATTGGAATTGTAAATTAAGGATAAAGTATGATACACAGTTAAGTTGTCCTGTTGCCAAATGAATAAAGGATATCATTATATAAATGTACAGACATTACATTATGGTCTAACTCATCTGTGTAATAATAGATGTCACATGGATGATGCGTGTGTTGCTACGTGAACACTCAGTTAACACTGATGTCATTTTCTGTAGGCCAGTGATGTTTACAGTCTGGTTTGTTTTTGTAAATATCATAAATCACAATGCATTCTTATATCTTAGGACAGCCCTTCACTTTTCACACCATCCACATCACTCATTGTATTTCAGTCTAGAGTTATACATATTCCCAAACATTTAACAACATCATTTTAGTTCAAATTATACTAGTTTTCTTTGTTGAGGTTGTGAGGTGGATCATACGTGTTTATAGTAAAGTCCAACTACTATTTCCAAGGCTAAAATAAAATTCCACACATTGACTGTGGTCTGGCAGATATAAAATAAACTGTATACAAATTCCTAAACTGGCTGGTGTTTTCCTCCTTCTGTTTGGTTGGTACAGAATAGTAGCTGTATGGATGCTGTGGTCACACATTTATCAACCTAAACTTCACTCAGCCATTACATCAGAGAAACAAGACTTTTTGGGGAACAAGTAAAGGCATTAAAACATTTGTTTAGCATTGTTATTCAAAGTAAATTAGTAATTTGGTTGTCCTTTTTTCTGCAGCCAAAGCAGCGAAGTACGGCCCATTGCAGGGCTTCCTTGGTGCAGGAAGAGGGGGAGTTGGAGGAGGAGGAGGAGGAGGAGGAGGAGTCTACAGAGGTAAACACTTTTACCAACTTCAGTCAGCTTAACAACTACAACGACAGCCATTAAAGTTAAAACTAATATTATCAATGGCAAAGCAGGGAGGGGGGTAATATTCTTAGAAAAAAATCTTCCAAATTTACCAGAAAGAAAAACGTGCTTATTCATTGAGATTATATAAGCAGTGCACACATTTGTAAGGATCATTTGTCGGTTGAGGTTGATGTTTTTCTACCAAATGACTTCCTCATTTCAGGAAAAACCAAGGACTTTATTTCTTCTGTAAATCTCCATCGGCTCTGTAATTCAAAAACTATTTTAAAAATACAATGACCCTATTACATCGTCCTCAGATGCAGAAGCCTGCTACATAAAAAAGCTGATGTGTGTGTGAATGTCTCTGGGGTATTCTTAGAAAAGATTAAAGTATAATCCTGATGTTTTTGCTGCAGGTGGCGTTGCGGGATGCCAGGGCAAATTCTGTGGGAGGAGGAAGTAGAGCTCACCAGTGTGACCTCAACAAACCACGGTGCTACTGCATGATCTAGAATGTACATTTTATATGCAAAGAAACCCCATTAAGAAAACATGTATAGATGTTTTTTTGTTTTGTTTTTTGTTTGTTTTTTGATACAAAAAACCCACCGACTCAGAATTTTGTACACGCTCTGATGTAACGCTTGTTATTGATAGTGCCTTTAATCATTAATGTGTCCAAGGTAACCAGCTTTAATCCCCCGTATTGAACCAGCCTACTTAAAATACAAAGAGTGTGTTTGTGTCACCACGTGTTGTTCTTGTGTTTGAATGTGTGTGTGGTTTGTATTGTTGTGTGAAAGACTGGCTGAACCATCGGCTGCAATTTTGACCTATGAATGATTTCGGTTTTAATCCTGAAGCAAGGTGAACTGTCCTCAGTGTTGCAGTCACACTGTCTCACCTCGCTGCGTCGTCTCTCTGACATGTCAGATGAGTCGGGTTGGTTTTGCTCGTCCAAAAAATTTATGAAATCTGGCCAATCTCAGCGTCCTCTCTGGATCCTCGTCCTCTCGGCTGCTATTTTTAGGCCTGCGGGGTGTCGAGCAGCGGGCATTGGGGCTCCGGCCAGCCCATCTGCTCTGTAACTTTGCTGATTCTAGTTGCTACGCAGTTCAGTTTTCTCAGCATTTCTAATGTTGCCAAACTTGTGATGAATGAAGAGCAGTTGGTGCTCTGAGGAGCGACATGCCGCTGAAAATCAAAAGATCCATTACAGGATGTTTAAAAACCTTAGGATAAAGCGGCGAGGCCTTTTAATTCCAGGTATATTAAAATGTAACGCAGAGACTGCTCTGACATGTACATTATGTATGTGTCAATGTTTCACGCTCTAGTCTGCTTTACATGTTTAGTCTCATTGCAGCAGTTATTTACATTTATATAAGTTCAAGATGTGTTTGCTTTGACTCATAGCTTTATTTTGTGTGTACATAACACACATGTATTCACTGTTTTGAATTGTAATACAGAATACGACTTTGTTTAACAGGAAAGCCAAAGTGTTTTTGTGAGGCTTAAGCTCTCATTGTTCTTCATTTACTTGAGCTGCTTTAAAAAAGGCTTACTGTCCAAAGGTTAATGAACGCCGTTGCCCAGTGACTCCATCTCTTCCTGTAATCGTGTACTGTATTTTGTACTAATCTGATATTTGCTGGCTTGGGTTCCTTCACTCGGTGCTGTGTAAGAACTGTCTTTGAGCCTCGCTGGGTCAGACTTTGTCTTATGTGCCTGGGGATACTTTTCATCTTTATTTAAAACTGTTTTCATAAGGAGGAACAGTGTGGTTTTGCACTTTTTATATTTCCACAACACACTTGTGAATTATTCCCAGAATCCAGCATTGAATTTGCTTCCTTAAGTAACATAATAAAATGTGTTAAAATACCTTGTGTCTTCCTGTTTGTTTATATTATTATTTTCTGTATGAGTACATTCCTCAGAAACAGTGGTTTGTCCTGAGTGCTGATGAAAACCACCTGGCCGAGGGGGTCCGGTGTAATCCCTCACATACCACACAGGGATAACATCTCAGGTTCACGTTTTATTCTTTATCAGTTCCATCAGATCTTCACTTTCTCACACTTGGCATAATGAATCAGGAAACATCAGATTAAATGTATTTTAAAGTCTCATATGTGAATGATTTGGTAGTCTCCTCAGTGGTGACTATAAACATTGTTCTTTTTGTGCCAGCTTGAAATATTGAACTCATGTTGCCAAAGTTCTCCTGGGAGAACCACTGACCTGTGATCTACGTCCTTTAAAAAAGCTTAAACGGTTTTTCCATCAGCAGAAGTCTAATCCCACAGTGTCACTATGGCACTGCAGTATAATGCTTAATATATTTCAATAAGAAAGTAAGTTGCAACCAATAGTTGGTGAAACATTTTTCAGGACTTTCGTGTGTTGCGTTTAAGTGGCATCGATTTCAAAAGTAAAGATCTTCATTTATTTGTCTTTAGCTGTTTAGTTGACTAAATTGGCTGCCAATATTATTAATACCTTTCAACTGTCACATAATGTTTTACTATTAACCTACCCAGCAGTATATCAAGTAATCTAAATTATCTCTAGTTTTACCAGCTGCAACATGAACACATTAATGTTTATCTATTGTTACAATTCTGCAATATAATACAGTATAATATATGATTCTGAAACTGGAAATTCTGCATAATGAGTGCTCTTACTCGAGAAGGATTTGATACAGGACTTTTACTTGTCACAAAGTATTATTACACTACTCCAAATAATAAAACATGGTATACATGTTAACAAGCACCTGTAACATATGGGAGTTAGACTAATATGTAGTTATTCTCTACTTGTTAGCCCCCCGTGTATGGAAGCAAACAAGAGACAGAAGTATTTGAATTTTATTAGACACCGAATTTATAGCATTGAAAATAATTACTTTGAAAATCATGTATCTGAATGTTTTTGCTCCGAATTTACCTATGTGAAATAAAAATGTAAAAATTCAAGTGAAAAAAATTCGAATGTTCAAATTCAGATCCCAAAAATTCGACGTCAAAAAATTCGATGTCAAAAAATTCGGTGTATAAAATTCGATGTCAAAAATTGCGGTGCAGCATCATCCGGGCTACTCAGACAGGATAAGCAATCGAGCCCTAATCAGTGCTTGAATTGGAATGAAAAAGGTGCCAGTACTCTAAAATCAGCAACTTTTTCAAGTCAATTTTATATATACAGCCCACAAACAAGAATTTGGCTACTATAATGCTGGTGGGTTTGTCTCTTTACTACTGTATATTTTAGAAAGGTTCACTGTACTTAACATTTTTTATGATAGGCAGCGGATATGGCTAAAGCTCAGTAAGGTCAATATTAACTGAAAATATAGCAATCAAAGTCTAGATCTTCTGCTGAAGACACATGAAGCAGAGACCTTTCAGGTGAGAGCCCCTCTGGTGGTGTTCAACATTAATGACAAGGAAACAAAGCTCTGGTCAGAAGCATTTTTTATAAAAAGCTTTAACAAAATTAAGTATTTCTGTACATTTTGAATGCAATCTAACTTTCCAACTCAGAAAACGAAAAACGAAAAAAGTGCCAAAAGTCTTCTCACATGGCTGAGCTGCTTTGCAATATACTTCACCACTGAAGAATACAAATATGTATAAAGTAAACTATGATGCAATCTAACTTTCCAACTCAGAAAAATGATAAAGAGCATGAACAAAGAACATGTAAAAACAAATGCAAAATTTGCACAATCTAAAATGAGAAACTGTAACTGCAAGTAACAAAGTCTGAGCCATGGTAAAGAGTTACATTGAACACCAAGCTGATCAGATAACTCCCTGGTTGTTCTGAAGTCCTTCTATCTCCAGGATCTGTACAAATCGGCACATTATGCCAAAAGTCTTCTCACTGGGTGAGCTGCTTTGCAATATACTTCACATTGTTAGAAAAGGCTCCAGAAGGCCTTGGGGACATCGGTATCAGGGGCTGGAGCTGGACAGGCTCTTTCATCAGCACTTCTCCTTCCCTTTGCCAGCCAGGACCTCACATACTGTTCCGGATTGAACTGTCCTAGTGATGGTCCATTACATTTAATGAAAACCAGGCTGGACAGTCGGCTGACAGAGAGAGCATTCCTTTTTGCAGTAAGGATATCGTTCATTGCAGCTGAATGCCCGCTCACACTCACTAGTGGAGACAGCGATGGTTCGGACTGCTTTCAGTAGAGGCTCCATGGCAGCAGGTGTACGGGATGCCCTGGTTTCCTTGTATTCGCGAAAGCCCTGAACAGTCTCTCTTCTGTCCACTTTCAGCACTTCGCACAAACGTAGCACCTCTACGTCCCCATACTGTACGTCTAACTCCTCTTCAGGCCAACTTCCAGGATGGATAACTTTCATGTCCTGGATTAGCTGATTGTCCCGGGCCCTCCCGGCCATGTAATGGGATTTCTCTTGTGCTGACATGAGAGGAGGTTGTGGAAGTCATTCTGTGTCTCAGATTCTCTACCATACTGCGGAAAAACTGACCTGCATGAATCTGTACAAGCCTGCCATTCTCACGCAGGGCAACACCCTTGAAGGACTTCTCAGCTAGAGCTGTATGAACTGTAGTCATGTGTGGGCCAGGCATGGTGACCATGGATTCAAAAACTCGTATTTCTCGAGTTAAGAGCCTATCTGCTGTAGGCAGTGTCATCTCTCTTTTTTGGAGTTGCCGAGAGAGGTCGCTGAGCTCTGTGAGCGCATCGTACATCAGTCCCAGATTGCTGACAAACGTTGCAGATGTGAGCACATCATCCAGGCCCTTGTACTTTGCTCTGTCTCTGGAATCCCTGCTCGTGTCGTTTGCAGCATTTGTGAAGTGATCATGAAGCACTCGGTAGTTTTCCCAGACTGCTCTGACGCTCCTTTCACTTGAAGCCACCCAGCGGATGGACAAAACACGCCCTATCACCAGGAGACGCTGTCCGACTGCTTGCGCACACTGCGCTAACTGCCTCTGATTTTTGGGGGAGGCATGGAACAAGGAATAGAGTTTGTCAAAAAAGATCTGGAAATGATTGAGCCCTGAGACCTCCTTGACCACATCCCCAACTGCCAGCTCTAGACGATGATTGGAGCAGTGCCACACAAACAGGCTTGGGAATTTACTACACAACTGGGTAGCAACGCCTGTTCTCTTCCCTAGCATGACTGAAGACCCATCACATGCAAAAGAAACGAAACACTGACCTAAAAAGTCCTCGTTAAAATCTCTTCCAAGACACTCCATTAACGCCTTTGTGATGTCATCAGCCGTTGTTCCATCCAACTCGATCAGCTCCCAAAAAAAACGTTTCGGGCTCAGCATCAGCTAATGCTGAGCGTAGACACACAACAAGCACCGTTTTACCACTAATAGTGGTAGATTCATCGACCAAAACACAGAGTTTTCTTTGGTTTTCTGTAATGTCTTTTGCCATTTTTTTCTTCAGCTCATGAGCTATGTGGTCGATGATTTCGCCACAGGTTTTATTGGAGTGCAAAACCCTGCCCACGTTCAGCCCATTCAGTTTCTGTACATTCAAATCAATTGGCATGTCTGTGAATGGCCGGCTATGTTTGCCAATTTTATATGCCGTTCGAAAAACTCTGATAGTGGTGTCTAATTCAGATTTATGCATAGACTGCACTTGATGTTGAATAGTTTCACGTGAAGCAGATGTAAGGATGTCAGCAGCTTTTACATGGGCTTGTGATTCTTTATGTTCTTTGATTTTTTTTTCTCAGGCTAGCTTGTTGTTTGCCCTTGTCAACACCGAAATGAGACACTGCACACTCACCCCATTCAGTTGACAGTTTCAGTCCTTGTCCAGTGTGTATTCCCAAAGATTTGACATCTCTGCATATCCGACATCCTAGCTTCTTATCTTTAAGAAGGAGCCATGCATTGGTCTTGCAAAAATATTGCACCTGGTCCGTTGTCCAGCAGTCAGGTGCATCGCTTTGCCCGGTGTTGGTGGTGGCAGTTGCGCCAGCAGCAGCTAACGTTAGAGGCTCTGGAGGAGGCGGCGGAGCTAGTGCTAATGCTAATGCACTAGAACTTGGAGCAGGAGGATCAACCAAAGAAAGCTCCCAATCAGACACAATTTCCAACACAGGCACAGCATTCTCTGTATTTGAAGTTTCTTCCGGCGACAACCGCTGTCTTTTTGCACTTTTATTAATCCACGCTAACATTTTAGAAATGCTCATTTGTGACGTGACTTGCTTTCCTTCTCTCGGGGGCGTGCCTGCTCTGTTCTATCACTCTACATAGCCACCCACTGGGTGGGAGTTGCACTGCATAAACACAACACACGTGCATCTAGGTATGTAAATTGTAAAGCATTAAAACATGGTTTTACTAACAGTTTTCAGTAAGTTGTTACTTCGGCATTATTATTAGTATTATTTTGAAACGTGTATTACTATTAAATCACGGTCAAATAGGTTAATTTTGACATAGTCGTTTCCACCACAGTATTTACATGGAGAAGATAAGCCCCGCCCCCTCTCCAGCACGTTCTGTTTGAATGACAGGAGTAAACAGCTGACAGCCGCTGTGAAACTCCAGCGGTTAGAGCGATGAGAATGTCCGTTCGGCACCTCATGACGCATCTACTGAGTACCGGGCGGCTGTATATATATATGGATGTATAATAAGAACGGCGGGAGAGTGTTGAGTACTGGCACGGTGCATGAGTACCGGAGTACCGCCAGCATGCCGGTACTGAGCAAGAAGTGCCGGTACTCCATGGGTCAGAACCAGAAGTGCCGGTACTGCGTACCGGTGAGTACCGGCCCAATTCCAGCACTGGCCCTAATGCAATCAAACTGACTTGGCCTATCAGAGCACGGCTTTGTCAGTCATGTGATC